TCTCAGCGAGTGTGTGTTTGTGGTTGTGGAGTTCTGGTTTGTGAGGACCTCAGTCTGTTTGTAGACCCTGGATTTGGGGACACTCTTCACAACAAGGACAAAAGTGAGTCCCCACCACACAAATACAAATGTTTCAATATAAACGCAGACACAGACATTTTTATAGCCTAATTTGCCTCTAGGCAGGGTTTTACTCCAAGAAATGGAATGATTTGTCATAACAAAAGTCCAGAGGAAAAAAAGGAATTGAAGTCAGAATCATAAATCATAAAACCGGAGCAGCTACGTCTGCCTGTTATGGTGAGTTTTTGTCATTATGTTAAATTTGTGAAGCTTGTCTAGATAAATAAAATAAAATAACAGTGTGAAGGACATTGACCACTAATGTACTGTATCTGTATGGACTTTATAACAGGAGAAAGATCGTGCTCAAAAGTGCCCCCTAGTGTATAATTATAAAACAGTATTTTTGCTCATGTCTGTAATACCTTCAGTATAGGAACGTGCTGTGGCCCAGGCATGGGAACCAGGAACAACTCAAATGTTATCATCCAAGTTCATTTGCAGTCACTCAGTGTTTCACTCCTCTTCCTCTTCCTCTTCCTCTTCCTCTTCCTCCATCTCTGGTCGTGGAGCTGACGTTGGAAACCTACAGAAACGTGTGTGTATTTGTTTGTGATCCACTCAGGAACTCTGGCTGTTTCTTCCTGTGTTGCTTGTGTATTAGCACGCTATCATCATGTGACTCATACGTGTGTGTATGTATGTGTGTGTGTGTGTGTGTGTGTGTGTGTGTGTGTCTGCTTGTGGGCCACCTGCTGTGTGTGTGCTCCTGCTCAGCTGCTCCCTGCTGGCTCTGCAGCCAAATAATACTTCATTAAAATACCAATAAATACTTCAGAAATCACTCCAACACTCACGGACAAAGAAACTTAATTAAAATACCAATAAGTAATTAAACTAATTTCATCAGCCAATAAATAACCAACTTCACCAAAACACAAGGCAGCAGCCAACTTCAACGTTTAAAAAGGCCATGTTTTTGAAACATCACAGTGTGTGTGTGTGTGTGTGTGTGTGTGTGTGTGTGTGATTTGCATGGCAATAACCCGGATCTGTGTCATTTTTCCTCCGTTCATCACACGTTCATGTCACAGCTGGACTTTTGTTTCTCTTCTTCGCCTCCTCTCCTCTTTCTCTTATTCCTTTCGGTCGTCCTTTGCTTCTGTCTTTCTCTCTCTCTCTCTCTCTCTCTCTCTCACACACACACACACACACACACACACTCTGGTTTCTCTCACATGCTAATCACAGCTCAGTGACTGGCTTCATGTCAGGAAACGAAGAGAAAAGTCAAACGACAAAAAATCAAAACCTCAAGTGGAGGGAAGGGCATGATGGAGGGAGGAAGAGGAGGAGGAGAGTGAGAGATGAAGATCATTTCACTGTTTGTGTGTTCACATATAGCTCTCATAGATCATATATATAAAAAATAGGTGTACTTTAATTACAGCTGCAAAATAAATTCACCTGATGTCTTTTTAATCCAGACTGAAGAGAATCTAACTGTTCTATATCAGTAGAAGTTCTTTCTGGTCATTTTTTTCATAAAAGGTTTTTAAGAAACCTGTGTAGTTCTCTGATGGTACATAAATTAGGCTAACCACAGAAAAAATGATTTTAAATATTCAAACAATTAACACAGCCTACAAACCAAGCCTACAGGCCCCAAACCCAACTTTTAAAAGAAATCTATTACCAAGTGAACAGGTCTAAAGACAAAGCTGTCAAAGCTCTTCAGGTATCACGTCTAAAGTTCTTCCACAAAGCTTTAAATTAATGATATAATGTGTCATTATAATTACACCCACTGGGTAAGTTTTTGCCACTACATCATACAAAATCATAATCACTAAATATTACAGATGTTGCCACTAGAGGGAGTCCTTACAGTGATTTGACGTCACACTAGGACCTGAAGGAAAATACACTCGAAATATTTGATGTGCACTTTGTTCATTTCTATGATAGGGTCTTTAATTACACCTTGGTGTCCAGCTGGGCTTCCACAGATGTCCCCACTCTGCTGTCCCTGCCTTGTCCTATTTGTCTTTCAGCTGCTGTCTTCAGCTGATCATTTGCTTCATCCTGGTGATAAATGCGTTTGACCTGGGATTGGTTTGACACCTGCATCAACAGGGCATAGATTGCCTCTTGGTATTGTCAGGGTGTCTGTGGTTCCACCTGCTGGCTGAACGCATACGGTGGCCTGACTTCATTATCTGACCGTCACCTTAGACTCTAGACTCTGAGCCCTGTCAAACCTCCTGCTCCGACTTTCCCTCCACATATAACAAGTGTCTGAACATGATTATCAGCCAGTGTCAGTGAGCTGCACACACACACACACACACACAGACACAGACACACTCCATGAAGTCAAATTAAATGACTCGGTCCCTTGTTATTTGATCACACTTTCAATGTTCCTTGACTCTGGGGAATGTGTGTGTGTGTGTGTGTGTGTGTGTGTATGTGGGTGTGTGTGGCTCTCCTTTTCTCCTCTGTCTTAAATCACAGTCATCTCTCTCTCACTAACCCTTTTGTCATCACCAGTAAAGACAAGCTTTTGATAAGTTTGAGCTGATCTGAGGCTAATTGCTGAAGTATGCAGGTATAAGTATTAATGCTTTGAGAGTGGCAGGGTTTGGGAGTGGGAGCCGAACACAACAGTCATTTGGCAGGATGTCTATCCCAGCACATAGTTACACACTAACACACTCGCTGGACGTGTTGATGTGTGTGACTGTAAACCTCCATGATTAATTAGAGTGAATTAGGCCTTGTGCCTTGAATTCCTGTATTATACTTTCAAAAGAGATGCTTGATTGCTATAGTATGAACTCTTAGCAGCCCAGATCCTGGTTCCTGTGCCCGACATTTGGTAGTTACAGTAACATTTGCCTCAAGTGTCCGTGTATGTACGGTACATCTACTGGTTGCTTCATAGAACTGACTAAAAGGTAATCCCTAATCCCTAATCCCAATGCCACATGGGTTACTGCAAACACAAATGGCCACCGTCCTGTGGCCCACATCTGGTATTCAGTGGCGAAGGCCCATGGTTCATCGCAGAATACCAGAGATGAAAAGCTGAAAAACATATATGAATGACCAGCTTTTTGGGCTGTATTTATATCAAAGCAGCCCTTATTTGGTTAACAAAGGGGAGGGGAGAGTTTGGTTAGTGTTCGTTCATGTTGTCGTTTCTCGATAACAGCTAATAAGCCACTAAACATGCCACATGTCATTGTTCTATTCGAGCCCAGTGAAACAGTTGCCCATGAGTCAGTGTGGCCATACAGTCGAGCCCAGTGAAACAGTTTGTGTTGCCCATGAGTCAGTGTGGCCATACATTCAGTATGCTGCCATGACCATAGGATTTTAGAGGCGTGTCTACAACGATGCAGCCCACTTATGCTGCCTAAATTCATCTTAGCCACTAAAAGAAAAACAATATTTTCCACAGCTCTAATGTTTTAGTAGATTCTTAACCATAAACAGCTGGACAGTCATGTAATGTGCAGCAGCCGTGGTGTCAATCATTCTCATGATTATAATTCACATAATTACACTGAAGAAAATCTCCTGCGTTCATTTCTTTATCCTGCATGAAAATTGCAGTTTATCGCAGAAATTGAGATATTTTTAAACAAAAGACCTGTACAACAACAGGCATTCACACACACACACACACACACACACACACTGTAAACTATGTATGTGTTTTCCTTTACTCTGTGAGTTTAGGTGAGTATGTCTGTGTTTGTGTGTATGTGTGTGTGGGTAGAGCCCACACCCAGCGGGAGTCTCAGCACACCCCTCCCTGTGGGGGGACAGATGGGTGTAATTATGTTATTTTTACCTCCACCAGGAGCTGCTGCCAGCTCGGGAAAATTAGCATCACACCTGTGTGTAATTGGCTAAATTAGCTCGTCGAGCGGAGACAGAGGTGGACGACGACTGCAGTGAGGTGTGTGTGTGTGTGTGTGTGTGTGTGTGGGTGGATGGGGGAAGTTGGGGATTGGAGGAGGAGGGGCGGGGGGTAAAATCAGAGAGTTGTTTAGCACAGAAGAGACTGCCTGTCAGCAAGATGCCACACCTGGAATGGAAAAATCTCACTCACACACCCACACACACACAGGGACACACAGAGACAAACACACACATACATACACACATACATAAACACACTTCTAGAAAAACACACAAACACTGGAACTCATTATGAGACACACTGGAAGGAAAAAAAGGAGACACCAAACAAACCAACACAGGTAGAGACAAACAAAAACAGTGGAAAGAAGAAAACACACAAACAGTGAACAGGAGGACACACTGTCTGCTGTCTCTATAGCTGTGAGGACACGTTCATTTCCTTGCCTCCTAAAGGACAACTCCTGTTGATGTTGACATATAGATCTGTTTAGGAGGGTCATGTTGTCATGAAGAAACAAAGAGACAAATTGTGCTGGACAGTTCAGTACAGTCAGAGTTAAACACATAAAAAACATAAATGAAAGCCTTTCAGCCATTAAAAATACTCAAAATATCATTATAAAGGTAATGCACTAGAGGCTATTTTCCAATAAGGCGCCATGCGTGACAGCAGTTATACATTTCTCTATTATTACTCTACTATTATTTCCAATTGTAGAGCCATGGTATAGGAACAGACCCGAAAATCAGAAACTCAGTGTGAAACTAAGCAGCATTATGTCTGGTCTTTTTACCCCATCTTGTGGCAGATCTATGTCATAACAGTTTGTGTGAGTGGAGTAGCGAGAAATGTTAGCCGAACTAAAAAAAAATTATTAATAAAAATTATAGGAGCCTTACATTTTAAGTTTGTTTTAATACTACCTTGGAATAAAGTTATGTTGCTTTTTGTTTTTAATTCATACCCTAAGAAAAAAAGAGACGAAGAAGAAAAAGGGCGGAAACGGAAGTCGTACAGTCGGCTGTGGCATCCCTGTCTTGACTTGCTACCAATAGCGTGAGGAATAATTATAACAACGTGAGCAATGGAGAAAACGTATAAATTTTTGGAGACAGATTCGTATGTTGTGGAAGAGAATAGTGATGAGGATAGTCCCGTCAGCAGGTTTGTTATAAAATGTATACTGATTTATTAGTTTACTAGCGTTAACACAGATAAGCTAAAGTGTGGTCATTTAGCCGTGTGCTAACATAAACAAACCCGTTAAGGTGGCGAATCACTATATAATATACTGCGTTTCAACTTTGTTTGTTAACTCGAAGCTAAACTGAATTTAAAGATCCACGCTTACTCTTCGTCACGGACCCCTAACCTGTAGGGCTTTAAGCGTTGGAATTATTAGTGTGTATACAATACTGTTCTCTGTTATAAACGATGGGTTTGGTTTATTCGTATATGTTCGTTAAACATGTAGTTTTCATGGGTATTGTTTCTATTGATTCCATTATATAAAAGTATAACGTTATGGTTCAGCAAATGACATGAAGTGAAATTGAACTCCTCCTTGCTTTTCTCTCACTTTTTTCTCACTCGTCTTGCCTCTAAGTTCGGAGGATGAGCTAGAAATCCTGTTGAACGGGACTCCAGACCAGAAGAAGAAGTTGATCAGAGAATATCTCACGGGTGAGAGTGAATCCTCCAGCGGTGATGAGTTTGAGAAAGAGATGGAGGCGGAGCTTAGCTGCACCATCAAGACCATGGAGGGGAGCTGGAAAACCTCAGAAGAAGCAGGAGCAGAAGGAGGTAATAGTCCCCTCCAGAGAGTATACTGTAGATAGTGTTGTAGTCTGTAGCATGATAAACTAGAGAGCTTTTAGCAAACACAGAAGATCTTCTAAGACTCCACTTCACCTTAAATATGTGATATCTACAAAAGTATTTGTAGATATCACTATTTGCACTAAACGGAGTTGATTTTTTTATGTTTAGTGCCTGTTGAATACAATTTTGCTGCCCAAGGCAGTTGTAGAGCAGCAGCTCATGCATCCCTGTAAGACAAAATCACATAATTCTTCTATGGACTTTCTTTTTGGTGAGTTTGGTTTACATGGTTCCTGCTGGTAGTGACTGGCTATTATTTTGGAAAAACCAACATATTGTTATGATTATTTATGTCTAAATCTGAGCAGCAAAGCCACTGTTGACTAAATCATTTCAAATCCTGACACTACCATTTGTTTGTTTGCTAAACAGCACACACAGCAGAAGATGGAGGAGGTGGTGGAGCCTCTAACCCTCAGCTATATGATAAAGTCTACTTTGATTCAGACTCTGATGACGAGGATACACCAAGTAAGAGAAATTTACTATGATTCCTGAAACAAACTAAATTGAAAATATTGTACTAATGCTGTTGTTACGAAGTATATCCACTAGAGGGCAGACTAGGTTGGTTGTCACCTTTTCAGGTTTTGAGAACTGTAAATATTGTTGGATCATTAAATGTAATGTAATGTCCTCATATTTTTCAGTATTTTAGTATTCAGCATATTTTTGCACAGTCACTAAGTATTTTCATGGGTTTTTAATCTTAATGATTTTTAAGTTAGTATTGGTCCATAGTGGTGCATGTTCTGCTGGAAGTTAAATTCAACATAATTCTCTCACAATAACTCTATGACTTGAAATTGACTTGTAGGCAGCTCAAAGGGCTCTAGATCAAAACAGCGAGTCATACCGACCAATGACGAGCTACTCTACGACCCTGATGAAGACGACAGAGACCAGGCCTGGGTGGATGCCAGAAGGAGACTGTGAGACACTCACTGGTTGCAGACATTTTTCTTAATCACCTGTCTGTTTGTTTGAGATCTTTCAGTCTTCATGTCTAATTCTCAGATATGCTGTAAGAAAACGACCAGCAGCAGCAATGGCAGGGTCATCGCAGACTCGTAAATGTCAGGGTTTACCCAGCAGTGACGCCGTCCTCAACTGCCCTGCCTGCATGACCACATTGTGTCTGGACTGCCAGAGGTCAGTACAGACTTTTGAGAAAAACACTTGTGTAACAAAAGAACAGAAAAGGTTTAGTAAAATATGTCTGCAAGAGTTTAGGGTTTAGTGACTTCTACTGTGAGGTAACAAGCGCTCTGCAAACTTTTAACACAAGCATTAGGATGAAGCAACAGTGGCTATTGTCTCGTCTTTACTGGAACCAGTGTTTCTCCATATCTCAGATTACTATTCAGCAGTGCAGTCAGAACTAATTGTGTGACCATGTTTTACACTAACACAAATTTAAAATAACACTGTACTATCCCTTGAGCTGCAATGACTAACAAGATGTCTCTCTCCAAGTAGGCATGAAAAGTACCGGACGCAGTACCGAGCCATGTTTGTTATGAACTGCACAGTGAAGACAGACGAAGTGCTGCGGTACAAAACACAACAGGACTCGAAACAGAAGAGAAGACGAAAGGGACGCAATCAGAAAAAAGGAACCACCGAAAGTGAACTTCCTGACCCTACACCATCTGGAATGAATGCAGGCGAGGTTTATCACCCAGTGCAGTGCTCGGAATGTTTTACAGAGGTCGCTGTGTACGATAAGGAGGAGGTTTATCACTTCTTCAACATCCTAGCTAGTCACTGCTGAGACACGGACATACCAAGCAGTTTATCTGTGGAATCTCACCTCTGTTTTCACAATCCTAGACATTGGGTTTTTATGGGGTGTGGATGTGAGGTAGTGATAATCAGTGTTATCTGAACTGAGAAATTTTCGCTCTGGACAAAGAAAACAATTAACCTTGTTAAGTATATCAATATCTTGACAATAAATCTGATATATATATATATTATCAATGGTAATTTTAAAGTCAGCATTTGTATATCAATTATTTTATATGGACCAAGACAGGAATTCAAACCCCAATGTGTAAAATGACACGTAAATGTGTCACAGAGGCAGCCCTGAATCCATCCATTCCTGGTTGCTGTGAGATAAAATAGACAGTTTCCTAATGTACGTGAGTGAAGCAGGACGAGTGGTGGACCACTTTAATTTTGTAATACAGGGCTAGAGAAATGTATTTGGCCAAGTCTTCAGTGTCTATGTCAATTATGAGTTTATTTGTTTCAAACCGAGAAATCATGTGTACCGTATACATTTTTTAAATAAATTTAAAAAAGAAACTATCAAGTTAATATGACCTAAAATACTTCCTGATAAACAATTAAACTTAATTCTGGGAGAGATATTAGAGAGGTACGTTTTTAAGTAAGTAATGATTTTAAAACTGTGAAAAAACTCCCTCGCGTATATTTTAAAAACAGATATTTATAGTATTTTAATAATGTACCAGTTTCGTTATTAGTTTTGTTTCACATAGTAAACATCATTATCTATTTGAAAAACCCTTTGTTTTGAAATTCGGAAGTCGGAACTCCCTTATTCCGTTTCTTGTAATGTCTTTAGTGATTGGTTGAGAGATAGTGGTATGATGACGCGTCACGTGTTTGGGATCACAGAAGTTCCCGTCAGACTCGAGAGTTGGAGGAGAAGTGTCATGGCGCTAGGCGACTGTTGGAAGCAGCTGTCCTGGTTTTATTACCAGTATCTGCTGGTCACTGCTCTGTATATGTTGGAGCCCTGGGAGCGGACGATCTTCAGTATCCTTTAAACCTGATTTTACTTCCTGTGATTGGGCTACAAATCAGGCTAAGTTTTGCTAGCACTAACCGCTAGTGGTTAGCCGGCTACGCAACAGCAATCTCACAGGTAAACCGTTTACCTGAGGGCTTTTTACTCTTAAATATACGACACATAACAACGCCTCACGCTCCCTATAAGAAACACAAATGTATCTTTTTAACGTTTGCTATGTATTGAGTTTATGTTCAGTTTGGTGTTGAACGTTGCATGGATATTAGGGTAGTACTAAATAATTACTGAGTCGCTGATACATTTGTCGCTGTTTGAAGCAGTACTATCATACACCGGTCTTTAAAGGTATGCTTCATGTTTCACATCGCAGTCGTTTTGTCGTCTTTTTAAGGTTAATATAATTCAGCAGTGTTAGTGTCGTCTGTCGTCTCTACGAGCAACATTAGAAAACAACAGTAGATGAAAAACATCTACAATTTCCTTTAAAAACTTTGGTATTGGAAGCTGATGTGTTTACTTTGATTTCTTCTTAGGAACAATAATACTACTAATGTAAATTAAAATATCTTTTAATATTTACATTTGTGCATTCATTAGGCGCTTTTATCCAAAGTGACTTACAAGAGTAGGGTTGAGTACATGGTTCCACAGCTTTTGTCTCTGTTTCTTTATGGGGTTAATACTCCAAGTTTACAATATCAAGTTTACAATCTCTCCACAATCTCCACTCCTGCTTGCTGTGACTCTGGTGAGGGAGGGTGAGTGGTGGACCACCTTAATTTCTGTAATAAAGGGCTAGAGAAATGTATTTGGCCAAGTCTTTGTAAGTTTTTGTAAAATGATTTTTGAAGAAGAAACTAAAAAAACGATCAGGTTAATTTGACCTTTGATGTCTCTGTTTACGGCATTTGAAATTTACAGTTGTTGAAATTTTGTTTGTTGTGAAAACTAGACATTTGTGTTTTTGTTTGGCGAACATAATCTATAAGTGACCTCATGATTAATTCCAGGATTAGTCGAACTCCAATGGTGGAGAGTCAGGTTTATCTGGAACAAAGATGGGCAGACCAGTGGATCGTAGAAGGGAGTGGTGTCATTCACACCGGGCCGTGCTTTGACCTGCAGTGTGTCCGACGTCAGTGTTGTATCGTCTTCCTGAAGCTCAGCCAGTCAGCGAGTTTGTGTTCGTTTTCCCTCAGGCTCAGTCAGTGTTTGTCTGTGGATTAATCTCGAGGTAGTTCAAAAAAGTGTATTTAGTTGTGGTTTATCAAAAGACTGACACTCAAAAATACACTCAAAATATATGAACTTGGAGGTTTTTTTCTTGATGTAACCTTGTCTGACTGCTTCCTGATGTTAAACAATGTTGCAGTTCTTTTAGTATATATATGTATATATATATATATATATATATACTGTATGTGTATATGTGTGTGTGTGTATATATATATATGTGTGTGTGTATATATGTATGTGTATATATATAAATCTGTGATTTTCTCTATGAACTTTTGTATTGAAGAAAACACAGGTCCATTGAAAAGTCCTCTCTGCCCCTGTTTCACCTCCTCCACCTTCAGCAGTTTGTTTCTTTAACTCTTCCTCCTTCTCAGACTCTCTGCTCATCTCAGTGGCAGCCATGGCCGTCTACACCGGCTACGTCTTCATGCCTCAGCACATCATGGCCATCCTGCATTACTTTGAGGTCGTCCAGTGACACCATGACTCCGTCCAAGCCCTGGCTCTCCGTCCTCTCCTCTGTCAATCTCTGTCTCCACTGCTTTATCAAAAATCAAGCTCTCTTTGGCGTCTGGAGGCCATGTTGGACATTGGCGTTGTTTCCTGATGTTTATCCTCTCAGAGTAATGCTGCACCTTACAGGATGTCAAACACTAGGATGTCCACAGTGACCAGATGTTGTGTTTTGTCAATATTGTTTTTCAGTTATTGTTTCATTCAGAATCAGGAAACCACAGATGGAGGAGTTCTGGTTTTCTCCAGTTTAAAGTTGGACCTGAATGTGTTTTCCTAAAGGGACAGTACCAACAACTCTGCCATCATTGTTAACAGATACTCTTGATCGTAAGTAATGTGTTGCCTTATATTTGTCAAGCACTGGCTGCGATATTCTGACCACATGAGCTGCAATAGAAGTAGATAAAATGAACAGTTTTGTTTTATTTTTTATTTTGTGCTTGGTTTTTTATGTTTTGAGGCTATTTTTACTCCTACTTTCGAAACAAGAGCATTTTCCAACAGGAATCTTGAGTTTCTCCAACACTCCCTCTCTCATCCCAATGTTCATTGAATTTAGTGATTTATTTTTTCAATAACAGTGAGACAGGAACTCATTCACTGCTGCCTCCTGTGGTCTGTTTGTGTCACTGGCGTAAATCTTGAAAGTTTTCCCAACACTGCCAAAGTCAATATATTAAGATATTTTGTTATCAAGTTATTTAAGACTTCACTGTTTGAAATATTTTGTTCACATTTACTTCAGTGTCACAAACTTACCACATGGACCAGCGGTCCCTCTTATACCACAGGTTAAAATTGGTGATGAACTTTGGTGCAGAGGGACGACTTAGTTACATTAAACATTTGTTGACAATGATTTAACTTATTAAAGTTTTTGTTTAATCTGCAGTTTTATTATACCCTACAGCCATGATCAAGAAAATCTGAATTTCTTGTGTTTTTTTTTAATGACATTACAGAATGTATGTTTTAAATGCATTTATGCACAAAATGTGACCGATTTGTGTTTTATTTTACCATTTAAAGTGCCCTGTGAGGAGGCGCTCTCATTCCATTTTCCCTTTTCTCTAAAGTACTGGAAGTGTGTTTACTTTCAGACCTGACATAGAAATAGAAAATTAAATGTGATGCATTAACTCCGTCTGAGCTGCCATTACACTGGAACATTTATATCTTTAATTTGACTTTTATGTTATTTTCTAACTGACATAAGTTTATTCTCACGGTACAATTTTAAAAGATGAAAAACAAGTTGAAAAAATGACCAAACTTTCTTTTACAAAAACAGTATGACAATGTTAAAAAGACCCAGATTATTCTATTTTGAAGAATTCATGTCACAGAAACCAAGTAAACTGTATTTTACTGATTGTTAAAAACTTGTTTTTATTCAAATGTCTTACAGGACAGAAAATAATAAACGCCTGTCAAAAAATTCAAGCGTAGCAAAATTTGTCTTGTCCAGCAGTAGTCCACTGAACTCTTTATTTGGCTCATAAGAGCAATGAATAATCGGATACAACATTCCTCTGACCAGAAATATTGCCGAACTGTTGGCCACATGTTTCAAGTCAGTTCAGAGCTGGTTTGTATGAAACTCCCAGTTGACAATATTGGCCAATTCTTCTGGCCTTTGTGTTAAACTATATTTTTTTTAGCAATAGGTATAAACATAATGTTTTGGAAATGTAAGATGGAAGGTTTTTGTGGTTCAGTTGTGATATCTTTCTTCAGCTGGTATTCTTCAAATCTGTAAAAGGTAAGCAGATTAAACTGATGTACGAAAATCCCTTATAGCCCTTAAGTGTATTGGAGTGCTGAATACCTTATCACCAACTTTTTTTTTCAAAATTTTATTTTTTCTGCATGTTTTAAAAATTTAGCATTTTGATTTTTTTTAGAAATTAAAAAATTAAAAAAAATTTTTTTTGGAATTTTTCAGCAAAAACCCAAACTTGTGGTTAGAAAAGAAAAATTTCAAAATTTGATATTTTCTGCATATTCCTCCTCAAAATAAAGAGTTTTTCATCAAATTAGGACATATTTCTATAACATGTTCTGTCAAAATGTGATGTTTTCCCATAATTTTCAGTCAAAAACTAAAAAGTTTGTTGAAAATTTCTGTAATTTTTTTTTTTTTAAATATATCTTTTCCTACATGTTTCTCATAAAATTAGGGCATCTAGAGAACATTTTTTGAAATTTTTTCTTTAAAATTTTTTGTCAAAATGTGAATGTTTTGTAGCATTTTTTAGGACATAATCTTGCATTTTTAGAGAACATTTTTAGACATTTTTTTTTACAACCTTTTTTGTCAAAATGCAAATTTTTATGTAAATTTTGTTCAAAAAAATTTATAAATTGTATCTTTTCTTGCATGTTTCTCATAAAATCATGGTATTTATAGAACATTTTTCGAAATATTTTTGCTGTCAAAAGTTTTCTGTCAAAATGTGAGTCATTTTTGGTCAAAAACTAAAAAGATTTTGACAAAATGTTTTATAACAATTATTTTTTAAAATGTTGAATTTACTTGGACTTTTCCAATAAAATTATGGCATTTAGAGAACATTTTTCAAAATATTTTCTGTCAAAATGTGAATGCGTTGTGTCATTTTTGGTAAAAAACTAAAAAGTTTTGACGACAATTTGTGAAAAATTATCTTTTTAAATGTTATCTTTTTTGCATGTTTTTCCTAAAATTAGGGCATTTAGAGAAATATTTTTGTATAAAGTTTTCTCTCAAAATATAAATCTTTTGTTTCATGTTTGGTCAAAAACTAAAACATTTTGACAAAAGTTTTTGTAAAAATTATTTTTAAAAATGTTATCTTTTCTTGCATAAAATTAGGGCATTTAAAAAACATTTTTCGAAATATTTGTGTATAAAATGTTCTGTCAAAATGTGAATTTCTCATGTCATTTTTGTTCAAAAACTAAACAATTTTGATGAAAAATGTTTGGAAAATTAATTTTAAAAATGTTATCTTTTCTTGCATGTTTCTCATAAAATTAGGGCATTTAGAGAACCTTTTTACAAATATTTTTGTATGAAGCTTTTTGTCAAAATGTGAATTTATGTGTCATTTTTGTTCATAAACCATACAAATTTGATGAAAAATGTTTGGAAAATTAATTTTAAAAATGTTATCTTTTCTTGCATGTTTCTCATAAAATTAGGGCATTTAGAGAACATTTTTAGAAATATGTTTGTATATAGTTTTCTGTATAAATGTGAATTTCTTGTGTCATTTTTGTTCAAAAACTAAACAATTTTGATGAAAAATGTTTGGAAAATTAATTTTAAAAATGTTATCTTTTTCTGCATGTTTTTCATAAATTAGGGCATTTAGAGAACATTTTTAGAAATATGTTTGTATATAGTTTTCTGTATAAATGTGAATTTCTTGTGTCATTTTTGTTCAAAAACTAAAAGAATTTGAAGAAAATATTTCTAAAATTATTTTTAAAAATGTTATCTTTTTCTGCATGTTTTTCATAAAATTAGAGCCTTAAGAAAAGATTTTTAGAAATATTTTTATTTTTATATATATATTAAGTTTTAATATTAAGTTTTCTCTCAAAAGGTGAAATTTTTGTGTCATTGTTGTTCAAAAACTAAAAGAATTTGAAGAAAATATTTCTAAAATTATTTTTAAAAATGTTATCTTTTCCTGCATGTTTTTCATAAATTAGGGCATTTAATCTAACCCTAACCCTAACTGTTAGAAAACAATTTTGGATATTTATTTTTATAAAATGCTTTTGTTGACCCCAACCCAAACCATAACCCTAACCCCAACCCGAACCTCAACCCTCATCCTAACCCCAACCCCAACCCTAACCGTAACCCTAACTCTAACCCTAACCGTAACCCTAACCACACCCCTAACCTCAACCCCAACCCTAACTTTAACCCTAACCCCAACCCCAACCCTAACCCCAAGACTAACCCCAACCCTAAAATTAATTTTCAAAATGTTTTTTTTTCCTGCATATTTCTCATAAAATTAGGGCATTTATAAAACATTTTTCAAAATGTTTTGAAATAAAGTTTTCTGTCAAAAACTTTTTTTTTCATGTTTGGTCAAAAAACTAAAAAAAAATTGAAGAAAATATTTGTTTTTATTATTTATATTTGTATAAATATATGTATAAAGTTTTTGTCAAAATGTGAATTTTTCGTCATTTTTGTTGAAAAACAAAACAATTTTGATGAAAAATGTTATCTTCTTTGGCATGTTTCTCATAAAATTAGGGCATTTAGAGAACATATTTAGAAATATTTGTGTATAACGTTTTTAGTCAAAATGCGAAATGTTTTGTGTAATTTTTGTTCAAAAACTAAACAATTTGGATGAAAACTTTTTGAACAATTATTTTTAAAAACGTTATCTTTTCCTGCATAATTCTCATAAATTTAGAGCATTTAGAGAACATTTTTAGAATTTATCTTCTAAAAAACATGAACTTTTGACTCATTTCCGGTCAAAAACTAAAAATGTTTGACAAAAAGTTTTGTAAAATAATTTTTAAAATAACATTTTTGAAATTTTTGAAATATTCAT